TCCACAAGTGAGACTACTCGTCAGCAGCCCTTTCAGCTGGTCAACGTAAAACCTCTAAACTGGCCCAGGTTTTCCTATGGTAAGCTAGAAGCTGTAGGGTCTTCCAATCGTCTGTGCTATCAAAATAGTAATAAAATATCTGCAACGTGCTTCCGCCACCTCCCGCTCCATAGGATCATCACGCAACGAGGACTCTCTGAGCGAATGTAGCCACAGGAGCCGTCTCCCATGGTGCCGTGAAACCGCGCAGCATAGTGCAAAGAAAAGGGTGAGGACTAATAGTGTTCAGCATGCCAACTTTTTTCGAGTGTGGGACAGTCCCCTACTCTCCATCTCCCGACAGCCGAGCCTCCATTGGACAAATTCCTTGGCGGGGGGGATCGACACCCGTCAATGAACAGCAGGCGCGCGCCCGCGCGTGAAAAGGGTGGCTGGACCGCTGCTTTGTTTTTACCCTCTCGCGAGAGAGAGATACACAGAGAGAGAGAGAGAGANNGAGAGAGAGAGAGGGAGAGAGAGCGATAGAGAGAGAAAGTCACAGACAGACACGGACAGGCAGACACTCAGACAGACACAGACAGATAGACACGAACAGACAGACACAGACAGACAGCCAGCCAGCCAGCCAGCTGATGTATGTCGTGGTGTATTTGACGGGGTTTCGGTACAGGGCAGTTACTGGTCAAAATCTGTTGGTTCGGCCCAATGTATGCGAGGATGGCCGGGTCGCCTTTTGTGTAATTTCCCATAGGCATGTGGCTGTTTGAAATGTCGATATATGTTCAAGAGAATCGGCGTGTCGAAGGATGTGGCCTAGATATGATATTCGGGAAGCACTGATGGGGCTAAAAGTTTTGGAGCGTACTCATAAGCGAGCTGGGAAAGGTATTCGTTGGACCAATCTGCATCGTAGGCCTCAAGAATTTTGTGTTAGAAGGAGCGTTTACTGCTAAAATTTGTCGTCGCGAGCTTGTGGTGTAATTTGTTTATCTTCGTGCAATGTGACTGGAGATACATGTGCGATTCCGAGCCATACAGCAAGATCGCCAACACAATCTGCTAAAAGTTTGCGTTTCATGGTGATGCAACGGTGCTTTGGCATCGTTTCTCGGCATCCGCCTTAGCCGATGCGTTACGAGTTAGCACGACTCCAAGATAATCCGCGTGAGGCTTGGGATCGATTCGTAGCTCTTTAGGCAGATATGGGTCATGTTTAGCCTGGCAAAAATCACGCAGGAAAGGGAAGTGCGGGAAATCTAGTAAATAGATGGGGAGATCAGAGGTGATAGTAAATAAGTGACACTTTTCATGATTAAGGGACATGCCCCTCTTTACCGAGTGGGCCTGTAGGTGTGGAGAAAGCGATGTAATGATAATCTTGTTCAGGAAGTAGTACTGTATCGTCCGCATATTCCACATTTGTTAATCCAAAATCTGACGTGAGATCCGACGGTCGGGGACCGACGTGGAAGCCTCATATCTCTCATGGAAAAGCACGGACAAGGTAATGACAAACAGGTAAGGTGACAAAGGACATCCATGACGGATGCCTTGCGCAAACTTTTCGGGGCGAGACTCGTAACCAGAGTCCTTGACCGAAACATGCCGTAAAGTGGCAACCTTGCTATATAAACAATATCGGATCAGCGAACTTGTGCGGCACTCCCATGCGGAGTAGTGCACTGCGCAGCGCTGAGTGCGCCAGCGAATCAAAGGCCTGCGACCAATCCAGGAAAAGTGCGTAGAATGATTCCCGGTGCCGTTCATGAAGTTCAACGAGACGGCGTATCACAAATAAAGGGGTTGAAGTAGATCGTCCGGCGCGAAAGCCGAATTGAACCGGACAAATGTGATCGTCGATGGCCCGCCTTGAGGCGGGAGTGTAACAGGCACGAATGATTTTATAAACCGCGCTGATTAAAACAATGGGGCGGTAGCTTGTAGGAAGAGTGGGGTCCTTCTTCTTGCCGGTAAAATCATCACAACATCTGCTACTTTCCATGGTGAGCGGGATATGGCCTCAAAAAGGCCTTGTTATATGTGCCAAGAGTGAGTGCTTTATGTACCTCTCGAATGGCATATTTCCATATTTCTGCGGTAATTGGTCTGGTCCGGCGGCTTGGCGATTTTTAAGACGAGCGAACGTCATCATAACTGCTTGCTCGGTATAGGAGCCGGGGGAAAAGAGGTTTCGGAGATGGGGGGGCAAATCGCGATGATTCCAAATGTGTTTTTCGAGATGGGTCGCCAAAACTTCGGGTCGATTGGCCTTGGTTGACATTTGCCCATTAGGTTTGCCAATGCCCTGCGTGCGTGGAGCATAGTCTTGTCGGAGATATTTCAAGGTGAACCATTGTTTCGAAGGTGGGCCTTTACTGTCCTGCAGGACATTATCGCATAGATGCTGTTTTTATCCTTCCTGGCGCGGCGTTTAACGGCTTTGCGTAATTTTTGGAGGAGCGTGTGGTCCTCAGGTGGGGTTGTTGCTATACGGTCGATAAGCCGTCTACTGGGTTCAGATACTCGCGCTTATAAGTTTGATTTTTCTTGGTTTTCGGAGCAGCTTTGATTGCCGCCTACGTAAAATGGTGGCTTGTTCATTGAGGGAAAGAAGATCAAAGCAAGCTTAATGGTCTCACCGAGTGGGGCGCGTGCTGGGTGGGAATGCCTTCGAATGCTCGAGGAGTGCACCATGCCACGCTTGGCAAAAAATGTCGGCGCGCTCGTTGCCTACATGTCCTGCGTGTCCTTTAATTTTCAGGAGCGATATATGAATGTGTGGCAGGAAGTGCTCGATGAGAGTATGGATTTGGGCCCGGGTGAGGAGGTAATGGAACTTTGGTGATTTGATGAAAGCGTGTATGTCTGGAGATATAATCCAGGGATTGCATGAAGGCTTGCAATTCGGCTGTATTACTTGAACCCGCGACAAGAGTAGTCAGGTTTTGCCCCACGGGGCCCCAACCATCTATCCAGGAAGTCCCATGTTGGATAGTAAAACCCCAATCGGCTGGGTTTCCCACAGATACGTTATATTGGTTTGGGCAGGACCCGTCCGTAAAAACGTTCGTGGCTTCAGGTATTGGGTGAGAACACAAGGCGTGGGTTTAGTGCCTGTGGGTTGTGCGAAGTTTTCGGCAAATGCCTGTTGGAACTTTAACTGATCGTCTTTGGTGCGTGGTGGGGTAACTTTAGGTGGTGGTTTCTTTGGGGGCTTAAGGAACTCATCGAATGGGATCGTCAAGGAGACGGGTAAGTGCCTGTGGAACCAAGGCATAGTCCACGTCGGTTTGGTGCACATAGCCCTGACGGGGTGGAGCGCATTTAATGGGGCCGGGACAAGCAAAATCCGCCACGTTATCAGGATGTGTCGGGGTAGCCTCGGGGGAAGAGGAAATTTCCCTATAGGATACCAGTTCGGAATCTGGTCTGGTATAGAAAGAGGAGGCAATAAGGAAGTGGTTATGGACCATAAAGTCCAACAGTTTAAAATAATTGGTGGTATACGTATCGTCCGCAAGCACGTCGCTGAGGAACACGGCTTTGCCTATGTGCGTGGAGAATTCCTCCAAGTCGGTGGGGATGATTCGGGCATTTAAATCGCGCATATATATATAGATATATATATATATATCTTTCTATATATATATATACATGTATGTA